GTTCCTGACCCGGGGGAGGGGCGAGGGGGGACGTCAGTCCACAGCGGGTTCCTGACCCGGGGGAGGGGCGAGGGGGGATGTCAGTCCCACAGTGGGTTCCTGACCCGGGGATGGGGGACGTCAGTCCACAGCGGTCCCCTCCGCTGCCATCTCCAGCTCGCGCCGCCCCTCCCGGGGCGTCTGGAAGTGTGACGGCCCCAGTCCTCTCAGCTCTTCTCCCTGTGACTCAGCCCTGGGCAGTAAGTGTGGAAACACCACCGGCAGAGCCTGCTCGGGTGACATTTCAAACCCAGAGCATCTTTCACATGCCCCTCCCCCACTGGCTGCGTGGTCAGCATCCAGGCTCAGAAACGCACGGAGCACGTCCGTCTCCTTTTCCAGGGCCCTTGTTCCCCCCGCTCACGTGGGACAGCACCTCACATCTGCAGACCTCTGCCACCGCCTCCTCTCACTGAAGCCCCCCAACACTGCCGACAAGGAAACGAACGCTCAGAAGGCCACATCCACTGCCCAAGATTACAGCTGGTTTGTGGCAGTTCGGATCTGAACCCAGGACCGCCGGGTCTTTTATATAAACTCAGAGAGGAACAAGGTAAGTCCACTGTTCCTCTTGCTCTTCAAACAGTCCTCAGCACCAAGCAAGAGTGGACCAGATACTGGACACGGACCTGGACCCCCCAGCACCCACTCGCCTGCCCACGGACGTGCAGTCCAGCCAGCGAGGCCGGAAGCCCAAAGCATCCCAGCCGGATGCCCTCCCCAGGGGGCAGCTGGACTCCCTAGACGAGCTCCCTACAGAGCCTGACATCAGCACCCAGGGCGCCCACAGTGCGGACTCTGGTCCCGACCCTCTGATACCCGTATCCTACCAGGCTCAGCCTCGGGTTGATTAACAGACAGGCCTGGATTTATATCAGCATGAAAGATCCGGCTAAAGGGGCCAAGAATGTAATTGACCACACCTGCCCCTGCCTCCATGGGCACCCCCACAAGGTTCCCCACTTTCTCCAGCCTGCCCCACCTTCCGTCACACCCCTCCCTCCCAAACCTTCTCCCTGGGCCCCAGAACACCTGTGAGAAGTAAACAAACTCACCGCCATGCTTGACCACTTCACCAAATGTTCAGCAAGTGCACCTTCTGTCTCAGCTGAGGCTCTGTCCTCCAGAGCCCCACTGTCCCTGGAGCCCTCTCCAGCTCCCGCCCCGCCCCCACGTCCACAGACTTAAAGTCCCCGTTTGCAAGAAGCACCCTCATGGCTCCTCACTGCCACTGCCCGGCCACGGCTTCCCTGTAAAGGTGTCTCTTCAAACTCTCTTCTCCCCATCTCCTCATCCTTCCCCCTAAACACCCCCACTACCTCGGGCTTGGTCTCCCTCTCCACCCTAAGTTCTGGCACCTTCTAGGGCAGGGTTTCTCAACCTCGGCACTACTCTCTGCTGCGGGGCTGTCCTGTGCCTGGCACGATGTTTAGCAGCATCCCTGGCCCCCACCCTCTGGACGCCAGCAGCACACCCTCCCAAGCTGTGACAACTAGACTGTCTCCAGGCATTGTCTCGGGTCCTCCACGGGGACAACATCAGCCCTGAGTAAGAACCTGGTCTAGAGCAACGTCAGCATCCGGACCCCAGGTCCAGCGCCCCGACCACTCCAGCCCCAGCAATTCACCCTGCATCGTTCCTCTCCTGGGGCAGCCACCTGCCTGCTCCACTGCCCAGGGCCCCCTAGAAGCAGGTGGAAGAGTGAGGACTGGATTCACCCAGACCAGCTGCAGGGTCCAGGTTTCATCCAGCCAGGCTGCCGGCTCCTCAGCACTTCCTGTAACTGAGCTGTTATTGGTTCATATTTCTTCCCTCTGCCATTGTCTTCTCTGCCTCCTTCCCTAGGATGTGAACTCCTTGAGAGCAGGACCTTAACTATTTTCTCACTGTTCTAGCCCTTACGCTAGCAGAGTGCCTGGCCCAGGGATTACTGATGGACGGAGGGAGGAGCAGGAGGGAAGAAAGGAAGACAGGAAGGAAGGAAAAATTGAGGGGAAGGAAGGGGAGAACCCTGCAGAAGAAGGGAGGAACTGATCAGATGAAGCAACAAGAGTCACATATCTTATTGAGCTTTGCAATAATCTGTAGCCAATAAAAGGAACAACGTATCTCTACACTTACTGACACGGAAATATCCCTGATAAAGCTGACTATTTATACACCCATCTGTGTATTAATGCCCAAAGAAATATCCGAAAGAATGCTCACCGTAAGGTTGAAGATTTTAATCTTCAGACTCAATTTAATTGAAATTGAAGTTGAAATAGCTTCATGTGGCCTGACCACTGTGGCTCAGTGGTTGAGCATCGACCCATGCACCAAGAGGTCACCGGTTCGATTCCCGGTCAGGGCACATGCCCAGGTTGTGGGCCCCAGTGGGGGGCATGCAGGAGGCAGCCAATTGATGTTCTCTCTCATTGATGTTTCTCTCTCTCTCCCTTCCTCTCTCTCAGAAAATCAATAAAAAATAAAAAAAATAAAAATGAAATAGCTTCACGAGCCTAGTGGCTATTATATTTGAGAGCAGAGCTCCTGCGTGGACAAATTTTTTACATACTTAGAAAAGTAACACTAGATGTGAGTTTTAAATTAATAAGAACTCAGAACAGCGTATCTGAATCTGCCCCAGCATCTGGCCCAGTTCCAACCTGCTGTGTCGTTCTGTATCCATTTATTAGAAGATCTGAATGCCCCATCCAAACTTTCTTGGCAGATGTTATCATTTTTTTACACAAACTAGAAGATGATTTCTTAATTTCTTACTCGGTTTTTGAAAGTGAGGCAGAGTCAATGAACTCACACATATTCCTGAAACTGACTTTCTCAGACCTTAACAGAAGGTACTTAAGTGCACAGATGTTTCCCGGTTTTAAAAGGAGGCCTTGCTGCGTAGGAAGAACACATTCCCCCTAATTTTTTGCTCAATTTGTTTTAAGTCGGTAATGAAATCTATGAATCCGCGCTCCCTTTCTTTGGAAAAAATGGAATTTTGATCGCTTTTAAAATCAGAACGCAATGGGATAATGGAGAAATCAGTCTCAATAGCACATTTCATGTCCGTTTCAGAGCTGCGGTGTAAACAGATGATGCTACGCTTTGGGGGTCTTTGAGATTTTTGCCACAAGCACAGCAGCTCAGGTGGAGTACTGCCTAATGCGTGCTTCTTGGGTAGATTTTTGTCAACAAATTACATGTCTGCTTGTTTGAAATAAAATCATGAAGTTGTTAATGTCTTTGCACAGAGACTGCTCCATTCGGTTTGCCCTGGGGAAGAAGACTTGGTACTAATCACCCCATTCTCTCCTGGAATAAAGAGCTTCAGAAGGGACAGAAAACCCACACTGATTGCTCTCTTACTTCCAGCCAACTAGTCATACACCAAAGAGGTCTGAACACGCAGCTACTCATAGGGGCCCGAACAGAGAACGGGGGGGGGGCACTGCCTGGCCTCTGGGTTCACAAAAAAATAATAAGACACCGAAAACATGTGTCTTGCTCCCCACCCGAACGCATGCACTTTGTAGATCCTGCATTTGAAAATGCAGAACAGGCTAACGGGGGGAAAAAAGTTTCCCCCAATCTCCCCACCTGGAGACAATGATCCCCTTTTGGAGAGCACTTGTCCACATCTCTCTCTATTCCAGTGGTTCTCACTGAGGGCATTGCTGTCCCCCAGGGGACACTTCGTGGGTGGAGGCAGAGATGCCGCTAAACTTCCTGCAATGCACAGGACGGCCCCTCACACACACAAAGAATTACCCAGCCCAGATGTGAGTGGTGCCGAGGTGAGGAACCCCGCTCAACCCACGTGGACGTGTGGTACTGTGATCATTACGTAATCGAGTTCACACCATGTGGTTTGTCACCCTGCGGGACCACATGCATTGCTCGGGGTCAAGCACTGCCCGTTTCCTAGAAAGGGCCTTGTTTAACTTTTTTATTTCTTTAATCCTTACCCAAGGGTATTTTTCTATTTATCTTCAGATAGAGTGGGAGGGAGGGAGAGAGGAGAAACACCAACTTGAGAGGAACACATCGACTGGTTGCCTCCTGCACGACCCCAACCAGGTCCAGGGACAAACCACAACTGAGGTACAGGCCCTTGACCAGAATCGAACCCGAGACTCTTTGGTCTTCGGGCCAACGCTCTAACCGCTGAGCAAGACCAGCCAGGGCCTCATTTAATGTTAACAGAACTCTAGAGGGGAGAAAATATCACAGATTGTATAGCTGGAGAGACGGAGGCTCAGAGAGGAGCAGCGTCTTGCCCAAGGTTACACAGCAGTTAGTGGTGTGAAGTCCGGGTCTGCGGGGTTCCAAACCCCACCTTTCCCACCACCTGCTGATTTGCTCCGGATCACCCCAGGGCACAGTTTACAAAAGGCAATTATGAACCTGGGAATAAGACCCTTGATTCCAGAGAGCTCCCTCCCTCCTTCTGCCAGGGAAGGACACAAGACATCGGCAGTCTGTGACCCCGATGGGGGCCTTCGCCAGAATATGACCACTGGCACCCCGATCTTGGACTTCCTGCCTCCAAAACTGTGAGACATAAATTTCTGTTGTTTATAAACTACCCAGGATGTGGTTATTTTGTTATGCAGCACAAACAGACGAAGGCACTTATTTTCTCACTTTTCCTACCTTCTGCTAACTTGTTAAACAGAATGTTTTTTGTTCTACTGGTGAAATTATTGGCCCCGCTCTTTTTCCTTCAATTTCCTTCATTGTTTTTTTTTTTTCCTTCTGGAATCTACCGTTAGAGTTGAAAAGCCGAGGCTATCTGACTTCGGATTTTCTTTGAAGACAACCCACTTTTTCTGCCTCGATTTTCATCAGTCTTCCTTTATCTTTGAAGTGGAACGGTTTCATCAGAATCTACACCTTACTATTTAGTTTCTTATTCCTACCAAATTTACTTGGTAACCCTTTCAGAGCTGAAAAAGCCTACCTACCTCCACTTTGGTGACGTTTTCTTCGATTTCCTCTTCGAATGTTGTTTCTGTTGCATTTGCTCCATTTCTTACGTCCAAGAAGACACAGTGTCCATCCGTCGATTCCAGGTTCCCTCTTCTCCACAGCTCGGTGTATCAGTCTGGACCTGGTCAGGGAACAAGACCACACCAGTTACTTTAACAGAAATAACTTCAAGTAAACAATGGCTGACTGGATACAAAGTGTTAACCAGGTACTGAAAAGGCGGAGAGAGAGCACTACGATGATAGGATGATAGCAGTAGCGTCTTCAAGGAGTCGCTACCACCCTGGGAGCTGGGAAGACAAAGACAGGAAGTTGGTGGCTTTAAAGGGGGTTTAGGCCCTGGCCAGTTTGGCTCAGCGGTTAGAGCGTTGGCCTGTGGTGCAGAGAGACCCGGGTTCGGTTCCCACTAAGGGCACGCACCTCGGTTGCAGTTTGTCCCCGGCCCTGGTTGGTTGTGCAGGAGGCAACCATTCAATGTGTTCCTTTCACGTCGATGTTTCTCTCTTCCTCTCTCCCCCTCCCACTCTATCTGAACAAAAAAACAAAAAAATGTCTTCGGGTGAGGATAAAAAAAAATAAAATAAAGGGAGTTTAGAAGCTTGGAAAAAGGGGTTCTGCGAAGCTGATAATCAAACCTTGGAGCTGTGCTGGCATCTCTGAGCTCAGGGGTCCCACAATTGTCAGGGACAAGATGTTACAACGCCTGTGCTGCCCCCGCTAAGGCCTGGAACAGTGAGCGACAGGTCCTTTAAAAAAAGGCTTCTAGCCCTGGCCAGTTTGGCTCAGCAGTTGAGCGTCGGCCTGCGGACCAGTAAGTCCCAGGTTCGGTTCCCGCTAGGGGCACATACCACACAAAAAAAGAGGCTTCTAGACCAGTGGTTCCCAACCTTGGCCATATGTTGGAATCACCCTGAGAATATTAAAAAATACCAATGCCTGGATCCCTTCCCTTCAGATTCTGAGCTCACTGGTCTGAGGTGCTGCCTGAGCATTAAGTTTTACTCCCCAGGTGATTCTAAGGTGTAGCCAAGATTGAGGACCACTGGCCTAGAATAATCTCTGCATGGCACCTGTTCCCACCTCTGAGCGTAAGGTGAGCGTTCACAGCCCTGGTGGCAGAGCATCCTGATACCCACCTGAAAGAGCTCTTTGACACAGGTGACGCTCCTCCCTGCCCCAGGGGGTCCTGATTGAATTCATTTACGTTGGGGTGGACATTGGGATTTTTTAATCCTGGGAGTTCTAAGTGCAGCCAGGGTTTAAGTAGAGGAAAGACCCATTACACGTATTTCTCCTACCAGGGAGTTTTGATGAGTAGACGGCAGACATCAAAACATTCTAACATTTGTCAGCCTCAAGATACTGGGTTGGTGGAACGAGTCTGACAGTTGGATCATTTAAATAGGGAGCCCCTTCTCTACCAGACGTCACACGTTAAGATAAACTCAAAAGCCCACACACGTGCCCTTTTATTTATTTCACGATGGAGAAGATTAGGAACACGAGTGAGGAAGATAACTTTCCATTTCCTTTATTATAACTGCAAGTTAGCTTTGGGTCCCATTGTCCTGGGCCCGTGGCTCCTGGACCAGTGTCAGCATCACCTGGTATATGGTTAAAAATGCACATTCTGAGGGACTTCCGGTCAGGATGGCGGGAGGTAACCGCGGTATCGCGTCCTCTCAACCACATCAAAGTTACAACTAAACTACAGAACAACCATCATTCAAAACCACCTGAAATCGCGCTGAATGGAAGTCCTACAACTACGGAATCAAAGCAGCAGCCACATCCAGCCTGGTAGGAGGGCGGAGGGGACGGGCTGGTCCCACACCCACGTGTGGCGGATAAAAATCAGGAGGACACCTCGGCTGGGAAGGTCCTTCCTGAGGACTGAGGGGTCCCCGTCCCACTCCAGGCGCCCCGCTCAGGGTTCCAGTGCCAGGAAGAGAATCCCCATCACTTCTGGCTGGAAAAACCAGCGGGAACTGAGGCTCAGGGAGGCTGAGGCGGCCGGAGCCCCAGGCGGCTCCTTAAAGGGCCCGCGCACGGACTTATCGGACTCTCTCCCTCTAAGCTCGGAGGGGAGGCAGCTCGAGGGGCGCCAGAGTCATACAGGGAAGAACTGATCTGTTTGGCATTGGAGCGAGGGCTAGAGAGGGGGCTTTCTCCTGGACAGACGTGCTGTCAGAGGCCTTTGTTCCTTTGGTGAGCCCTTCCCGGGGGCGACAGACAGCCGCCATATCTGGGACTCCAGCAACCTGGCTCACACTGGTAGCCCCGCCCTGCTGACTCCCTGAGGCCCTGCCTCACCCATCTTTCAGGCCCACCCAAGCTGTTGCCAGTTGCTTAAACATAGGATTGGCCTGTCTTGGATCCTGCTTCAGGTTTTCCTAAATTCTTTCAAACAAGCAGCATCTGGTCTCAGCTAGCCCCATACCTCTCGTTAAGTAATACACAGAAACAAACACAGGGAGGCAGCCAAAATGAGGAGACAAAGAAACAGGTCCCAAATGAAAGAACAGATCAAAACCCCAGGAAAAGAACTAAGCAACCTAACAGATGCTGAGTTCAAAATACTGCTTATAAGTATGCTCAATAAACTTAGTGAGGGCCTCAAGAACATAAAAAAGGACCAGTCAGAAATTATGGATGCACAGTCAGAAATGAAGGAGGCATTAACTGAAATAAAGAATAATTTACACAGATTCAATAGTAGAGTACGTAAATCCAAGAAGAAAACCATTGATTTGGAATATAAGGAAGCAAAAAACACCCAATCAGACAGCAAAAAGAAAAAAGAATCCAAAAAAATGAGGATAGTGTAAGGAACCTCTGGGTAAACTTCAAGCGCGCCAACATTCGCATCTTGGGGGTGCCAGAAGGAGAAGAGAGAGAACAAGAAATCGAAAACCTGTTTGAAACAATAATGGCAGAAAACTTTCCTAACTTGGTGAAAGAGACAGACATACAAGTCCAGGAAGCACAGAGAGTCCCAAACAAGATGAACCCCAAGAGGTCCACACCAAGACACATCATCATCAAAATGCAAAAGGTTCAAGACAAAGGGAGAATCTTAAAAGCAGCAAGAAAAAAGCAGTTTGTTACCTACAAGGAGTTCCCATAAGGCTGTCAGCTGATTTCTCAAAAGAAACTTTGCAGGCTAGAAGGGAGTGGCAAGAAATATTCAGAGTGATGAAAAGCAAGAACCTACAACCAAGATTACTCTATCCTGCAAAGCTGTCATTTAGAATCAATGGACATATAGTTTCCCAGACAAGAAAAAGTTAAAGGAGTCCATCACCACCAAACCGTTATTCTGTGAAATGTTGAAGGGTCTTTTTGAAGAAAAAGATAAAATATATGAACAAACAAAATGGCAATGAATACATATCTATCGACAATGGAATCTACAAACAAAATGAACAGGCAGAGCAGAAACATTCTCATAGATACAGAGAACATTTTGTTGGTTGCCAAATGGGAGGGGGGTTGGGGGAATGGGTGAAAAAGGTGAAGGGATTAAGAAGTACAAACTCATTGCTAGACTGACAAACCTCAAAGGGAAAGGGGTTGGGGGGTGGGAAGAAATAAACCAAAGAACTTATATGCATAACCAATGGACACAGACAATAGTGTGGGAAAAGGCAGGAGGGGGGCGGGAGGGGGGCGGGAGTGGGGAGGAGGGGGTCAATGGGGGAAAAATGAGGAACATCTGTAATACATTCAACAATAAAGATTTTTTTTTTAAATGCACATTCTTGGGCCCCACCCCAGATCTACTGAATCAGAAACTCTGGGGGGAGGACTCAGCCATCTGTGTTTTACCAAATCTTCCAGGTCTTATGCCCATTCAAACTTGAGATCCACTTTTCCAACCAGTGACACCGGGAAAAAAGAAAGCCCATGTCCCTCTCTGGCCCAGGAACCCCTTCCATCGACAATGGCAGAGAGTAGCTCCCCGCCTCTGGTAGACCAACGGCATCACCATAGCAACATGCTCTCGGTGGGTCTCAGACATTCACCAGGAAAACATCTTGTCTTAATAAATGGAAGAATTTGCATGTAAAATCAGACTCCTGTGCCCTTTGTCTCTCTGCCTGCCTGTGACAACTGGTTCCATCTCTTCACCTTTCCGTGCGGCAGGCTGAGAACTTATTTTTGTCTAATCCCGCCTTATCCTCTCAAACCGGTGCAATTTTCTCCAGATTTTGACAACGGATCATCTGATGGTCCTCGATGTGGCCTACTGTTGTGACTCTTGTCCTTCAGCAGTGCTTTCATTAATGCCTCTGTTGCACTCATGCTGGGGAGGGGTCACATCAAACTGTTGACACTAATTGAGCTCAGAATAAAGTGAAGCCCCTGGTTTCATTTTCCACAGTGGATGCTAAGCCGCGTCGTCTCTGCCCTGCATCTCAGCCGCTGTACATTGTGAGCTGACAGCATCTTTGCTTCCTGGTTCAGCTGTGCCCGGGTAGCATGCTTCGTTCATGCTGGGGTGCCAACCGTATCGGTTTGCCAGGGACTAAGGGGTGTCTCAGGAAACAGAACTCTCGGGACTAAAACCAGGAAAGCCCCCCCCCCCAGAGCAGCTTTCAACCAGTAAAAATGGGATCTGGTAGCTAAGCCAGCAACCTTGTTCTTCGGTGGGTGTGACGGGCAGCCCCCAAGATGGCCCCCAGTGATCCTGCCACTGGTAGTCGTGTGTGATCTCCTGCCCGTGGTGGTGGGCGGGACCTCGTGACTCGATTTTAACCCAGGAAAAGGGATGGGCTCCCTCTTCTGAGATTAGGTTGCAAGGAGACTGAGACTTCCGAATCGCTGGCTTGTCTCTCACGTTCTCCCTCACTGGCTCCGAGAGAAGCCAGTGCCCATGTCGAGAGGTACCCTACCAACAGGTCCACGCGGCCAGGGACTTACACCCCCAGACAACTGTTATCGGTTGAATCGTGTCCCCAGAAAAGATGTTACAGTTCGACCCCTGAACCAACCCCAGCTGCCCTCTTTCCTGGGACCGACCCTTCCCCACCCTTCATTCCCATGGTTACTGCAGAAGCCGCCCTTGCACACACTGTGACCTCACTGCCCTGGCCACAGCGGGCGGGCCTGGGGGTACCT